GATATTATTTGAGGTTCCAGAGACTTCAGAGAGGGTCTTGTTGGAGTTTGTGACCACATGTAGGTAAAACTTTCCTATTATATTGTCGCTAATCTGTAGAGCAGCGGAAAGCTGGTACTCTTGCTGTTCATCTAGTTTAGCAGTAACGGTTTCAGACGCCATAACATGAGCATCTTTGCCATCGATGACGCCTTTTGAGGAGGAGATTGTAACGCTGTCCACCCAAGTCAAAGGCTCGCGCATCGAGCTTCCAAAGTTTGCCACTGACCAATACACCGTCAGGAAACGACGCTTTTCTTCAAAAACAAAAGAAATGTCTACAACGGCTAAGTCTGGCAGTGGTTTAGGTAAAATTTCTGCACGAATCCAAGCTAAGTTGTTCATCTGCGAACCTTTTTCAACTATCGAGCCGTCTTCGTTGACTTTCAAAACAAAATAATAAGTTCCAGATATATCAGATGGTAACTTCGTAAATGAAACCTTGGTGTAACTTTGACCAGGACTTATAGCTTGTCTGAAGAAGGCGTCAGCGAGTTTTGTTGAGTTATTTTGTACGGTTTGAGATTTTGACAGGTAAACCGCGTCTTGCCAGGATTTCTTCAGTGTGCTTCCTGTTCCATTGTTTTCAACAGTCCATTTCAACGAAACTTCAGAATCACTCAACAGGGCTACCTTACGGGACAACAAAGTAAAGTTTGCCACAACGAGATTAGGCAGAACTTGTGGAAATGTCACATTACCAGAGGATCTGATGTTGCTCTTTAGGTCATTTTCTGTGACTGAACCATACGTATTAGTTTTAACGAATATAAACCGCTGACCAAAAAGATCCCTGTTTATGCGTATGGGTCCTGTATCGATGCTGTATTGTTTACCTGATCCCAGGTTGACTCTGTGAGGGAAATCTCCCAGCCATATTGTATTGCTTTGCGAAAAATGAGCATGCGGCGAGATGTAGAGTGAGTCGAACCACGGTGCCTCGGTTGTTACTCCCTTTCCAACGTTTTCAACCGTAAAAGAGACATTCAAGTAGGCTTGGACGTCGTCAGCGGTTACAGAAGCGTTGACATGCGTAACGGTCAGGTCGGGTAGCCTGCGAGTGACATTCACCTGGACAGTTTTCTCGTTATTATGGTTAAAGATGAATTCAAAAACGTCATCTTCATAATCCGTGAATACAGTGATGTTGTATTGCCCAGTTTCCCAACTAGAAGGAATGAATTGATTCACAGTTCTAACGTACCACGAGGAGGGCGGAAACAGCCCTGAAAATCGGGTGACTCCAAGAACTTCATTTCTTAATGATGCAGTATTTGTGATAGTCTGTGAAAATGAAAGCAAAATAGGATTTAAATGATCTATCCATTTGTGTACGTCAACATACCCACAGATATATATAATCTTGTTGATCTGTCGTTCGAACTTTTGTAAGCAATAATTCAGAGTACGATAGTCCACCTGTGTAATACCCGATGAAAGATTTTAGATTTGGGAACAGGCAACGCTCTCAATGAAACTACAAAGGGTTTCTACATGCCTGGTGATTTACTTTAAAGGGGGGAAGGGGGAGCTTATTCATCCTAGGGAGCCCTTTCAACAGAATTTTACTTTTCATTTTTCTTTGATAGATTTAGTTTTAGACATTACAATGTATTTCATTCCATCTAATGTTTGAACCGGGAACTTCTCTTTGGTTATAGATAACTTGTGTTTTTCGAAAGTCAATAACTCATAGGCCCAACTAATCATGAAACTCCATGCTGCCTGGAGGAGTCATGGGAACGACTAAAGTTTGGTGTTCGTGGACTAAGAGTATTCATGGATTCCATCCAAGGAGCAAAGATCACGAGGCAATTGCTCACGGCACCGATGTAATGAAAAATTCGAAGAGGTAAGGGAACCCTTGTGATTCCACCGATAGCCTCCCACTCACCACACGATCTCTCCACCAGTAGTAAAAGGGTT